TCCTCCCCCAAGCTTATGCACACTCTCTCTCCCTCTCTGCCCCTGCCCCAAGCGTGTGCACACACATTCTCTCAAAATAAACATTTTTAATAAATAAATAAAAGCATAGTTAAAAAAAAAAAAGTGGTACACAGTTCCATCTGGAATAGCATTTTACAGCTTCCAAGCAACAGCAGATCTGAAAGTAGACCATAAGAATTCTTGGCATTTATCTTTAAAAGATGAGTATCTCATTTTGGGGCCCCTAATAATTGTCAGGTGGCAGCAAACTTTAACAGTCAACAGATGCACAAAAGCGCAGGTTCCCCAGCAAGAAGGCAATATTCAATCTACTATCATTACTAAAATAAAATACAGGTGCTCCTTGCGGTATACTAAGTAATGTGTGGGGCGCCTGAGTGGCTCAGTCAGCTAAGCACCTGACTCTTGGTTTCGGCTCAGGTCATGATCTCACAGTCTGAGTTCAAGCCCCGTGTTGGGTGCTGCGCTGAGGGCATGAAGCCTGCTTGGGATTCTGTCTCCACCTCTCTCTCTGTCCCTTCCCTGCTCGTATGTGCACTCTCTCAAAATAGATAAACACTAAAAAGAAAATAAATAAATGTATTTGGTCTTTGCCCTCAATTCCTGGCACAGAGCTCCTAAAACCCTTGGAAGGAAGTTCCAAAATAACAGGAGTGTCTTTTAAAATGTATTCATAAGGAGCCCATTTGGAGTACATTTGAATTTATGCTGATGAGGTGACTTAGCATGGGGCCCATACATGGCCTCAGAGTGGGGCTGGTCACCAGAAAAAAGGTGATTAGATAGAGGCTTGGAACCTTCAGCCCCACCACTGACCTTGAGGGACAGGGAGGCTGCCTGGAGACTAAACCCTATAAAAACCCTAGAACAAGGAGAGAACTTCCAGGGTGGCACATACTGATTGCAGAGAGACAGCAGCTCTTCATCTAGACCCTTTGGGACCTGGCCCTATACACCTCATCTGTGTGTGTTCAGCCGTGTCCTTCACAAAATCCTTTGTAATAAGCCGGTAAATATTAGTGTTTCCCTGAGTTTAGTGAGCCACTCTAGCAAATTATCAGCCCAAGAAGGGGACTGTAGGATCCCCCGATTTATACAGCCAGCTGGTCAGCAGTACACGTGGCCTGAATGTGCGACTGGGACTTGTGACTGAGGCCTGAAGCGGCAGCAGTCAGGTAGGACAGAGCCCTTGCCCTGTGGGATCTGAAGTTCTCTCCCTGTAGACAGTGTCGGAACGGAGCTGAATCTGTAGTACACGCCGCTGATGCCCGCTGAGAACTGGAGAACTGCTTCGTAGGGGAAAAAACCCACACATCTGGTGTTAGAAGTATTTAGAGAAGAAAAACAAGTTTCCCTTATGATTCTCCTTCCAGAAGATGCAATTTATGAACAGCCAGATTTATCCCCCAAACAACCCATCAGTTTACCAAACGATGTTTTCCTTTCAAAGGACCTCTGTGTAGCATGTTTCAGCAACACAGCGTAAGGAATTCTTTTCATTAAAACTCCATTCCCCCTCCCTTTTCAGACTCTCATCTGCCTGTGCCACGTGCAGCACTCCCGTGGGCCCACGGAACTCCCCTCTCCAATTTCACAGGGGAACCCGGCTCGGTCAGGTGACTGGCTCAGGGGTGGGGACAGGCCCACATCCTAAGTGCTAACCCAGTGCCCCTCCAGCCAGAGTCCATCTTTCCGTTATTCCCACTTAAAACCGTCATCATGCTCATGGAATTCTTTCCATTTGGACCTCACCTTACCCACTGTGAACTCAACCTAACCCTGCATGACACAGCCCTCAGGAAATCCAGGGACAGAGGCAGTGTGGACGGCTGCTTTATAACACGACAAGAAATAGCCAAGTCCGTCCCGCAGTTCTAAGGGGGAACGAGCCCTCCGGGCGGGAGCTGGCTGCAGTCTCCCTCCAGCCCTGTCGCCTGGGGGCCGTCCAAGCTCACCAGCTAGTCCACCTCACTCCATGCCTTGGCTTTCCACCTGCGGGGAAACAGCAGCCAAAAACAAAAGACAAAACAAAACAATTTCCTCCTAATAGGAAGAATAAAATGAAACACAGTTTTTCAAGTTTCTCAACAGTGAAACAAAAATTACAATTGTACAATTAATAAAAACAATTCCATGAGCATCTTTCTTTGCAGTTCAAATTCTTCTCATTATATACAATCCTTCTGTATTGGAAGAAGGCAGTTTTATCTGTTTTATTTAAGAGATGAGCTTGTTTGCCTAAAGTCACAGAGTTTGACCCTGTGTCTCATCCCCTTCCGAATCCCTGAGCAGCTTTCTTAGTTGACAAGCTGCTATTCCCAACCATCAGAGTTGGGGGGGGGGGAGAGAAAAGGCTTAATATTTAAGTCTTGTATGCCAGGATGTTTCAACATCCACACAGTTGACGTTTTGGGCAGAAGTATTCTTTATGTGAGGAAGTTGTCTGGTGCACTGCAGGATGTTTAATGGCATCCCTGGGCTCCACCCACTAGATGCCAGAGGCAACCTCCCGGTTGTGACCACCAAAAATTTCTCCAAAATCTGCCAAATGTCCCCCTGGGGAGCAAAACTGCTCCCCAGTGGTTGAAAACCACTACATTATACACAATACACACAAATTCTTGGGAGCCGTCACCCAAATGGAAACCGTTAGGCTGAAAAGAGAAGACAAAATCAAGGAATAATTCTCTCTAAATATGTGAAAAGTTTCCGTATAGAAGCAGGAATGGATTTCGGACGCCAGACAGCAAACCAAACTTCGTAGGCAGAAGTTACGGAGTAAAACCAGCGAACATTTATTCTGTCGACATGCCAGGCACTGTACAGGGCACTTCAAGTGTTATTTTATTTAATCTTTACAACAACCCTACGAGATTGGTAACGCAGGCCTCACTTTACAGATGAAAAGACTGAGGCTCAGAAATGTTAACAAACTTGCCCAAAGTCCAAGAGCTAATAGCAAAAGCAGAACCAAGACTCAAACCAAGGTCTAATGCTGAGACCGAGCTCTTAACCACCCAGCTACTTCGACCCCAACGCATTAAGCATTTCACCTCAACGTAATAAATAAGGAACTCTTTGACTTATGAGCTGTTCCTCTCACCTACAGTGATTCTGGGAGCCACCAACCAATGTGTCCAGACCAGAAGCAGGTCCAGAAAGTCCTCCTTCAACAAGCCCCGGGGAAGCCTCTGCCCTAACTCCTCCGAGTCCCTCGACAACATTCAGCCCTTCCTATTTCACGTTACTCAAGCCACTCTCTCAAGCACTTCCTCTTAGCAAGCTCCCTGAGAATGGGGCAATCAACTTCTCATGTTTATAGTCTCACAAAGCCTCACACGTACTGGGGCTCTGGGGTGCAGGGGGGGAGGGGGGGCGCGAAGTTCACAAACAGTGGCTGGGGGCGGGGGAGAGGGAAGAATCCTCCGGAACATTAAATATTAGTTTGGAAGCCACCTGTCGAAAGACAAACACTAAATTGTATCTTACAGGTATTATATTTTCCACAGAAATCCCAGGTTCTCAGATCACAGTGCCTCTATTCCTATTGAAACAAAACAAAACAAATAGACAAAAACCATGCCCAGCGTGCACAGAAGTAGAAGTTGGTGTTCTTACCATATCCAGCCAACAGCAAGTTGTCTAGAGTAATCTGGAGGTAAAGGGGAGAGTCGGCTGAGAACGCCACCGAGGAAAGCAATCGGGCAATTGCTCTGCCCAAGCAGACACAAAATAAGGGCGAGAAATGTTGAGAATACCCAGCGTAAACCATGCGAGGGGTCCCTCCCTAAACTTCCTCAGGGTTCCTGAGCAGTGGAGAGAAGAGAATCATGTACTAACACAAGCCTTCCTCACTGCCACCAGGTATGGAGGGTCTTCTGCTTCTTTCTTTCCTAACCTTCTATCTCCATCAATGACATGGCATTTTCCCTTTATGCGCAACCAATCACCATTCAAGAGAAGCAGAAATGTAACCGTCCAGAACAGGCATTCAGACAGATGATGAAAGGGGCAGGCCACATCGTGCAGAAGTTGGTGCAAAATTAAACACTTCAGTAGGACCCACAAAGCTTCCAGGACCAACCACAAACCCTCCGCTTCAAGGTGCAGATCGGTTTTTCCTTTTTTTTTTTTTTCCCCCCCTTTGGCTGAATCTCTCAGTTTGGGATAACCAGACAGAAGCTTTGAAACGCATGTGTGTCCTTCCAGGGGACCAGCTGAAAATCGGCACCACGTAACTTGACGTGGGTTTAAATAGGGCCTTTTTGTAACCCATTCACCTTCGTAGGGGAAAAACGGGGCTTGGAAACCTGTAGTTTAGCGCTTGTCACCAAATCTCTTACTAAAGTCAAGGCAATTAGGCCCATGACTAAAATATTTTATCTCAAAGCTTCCGTCCTGCGCACATCACAGATACGGCTAAAAGCAAACACAGATTTTTAAAAATGTCTTTCATCCACACCCACAGAGAGGTGTGAGGGCAGCCGAGAAATCATGGCGACAGGGACAGCCGATGTCCGTGGGGGCAGCCGTTTCGGAGACGTGTTTTCGGGACAGGGCGCGGAACCAACCAGTGGTAGGTACTTTTCTCTCCAAATCTCTCTCCATCTTTTATCTGCCCAATCACATTTCGGTCCAGCAAACTGCCTTTATCCTTCGAGAGGTTCTCGGCGAGAGCAAGAGGGACCGAAGGCGGGCGAGGGGGCGATGCCCGGGATTTGTAGCCACACGTAGCGCTGGGAAACGTGTAGCTGTTTACTACCAGCGTCCGGGAGACGCCAGCGCAGCGCGGCGCGGAGCACGCCCCTCGGGGCCCGACCCCGCCCCCCCATCCCTGGCCCGGCGCGCCCGGCTGTGGGGGCGACGCGCCCGCGGGACGCGCAGGCTCCCCGCGCGCCGCCCCCCCCCCGCCGCCGAGCTTCGGCGTCGCCCGCCCGCGGCCCCCGCGCCCACCCTTGGCGCCGCCCGCCGCGAGGTACCTCGGAGGCCCGGGTTGTCGTCTCTGGCCCGAATCTTTCGGATTTTGACGGGGCGCCCACTCAGGGTGGACAGGACCAGTCGCTGGCGCAAGAAGTTGCAGCCCGCGTAGCTGAGGGAGTGCGACTGGGTCGCCATGTGCGCGCCCTCCGCAAGGGTGCCGGCGGCCGGGGCGCAGCGACTTCGGACGGGCGCGGGGGTCGCGACCCCGGCGGCGGCGGCGACAGCGGCGGTGGTCACCCGGGCTCCGTCTCGTCGCCCCGCAGCCCCCGGCGCGTCCACGTGGTTTGGAACAGGAAGACGGAGAGACGAGACACCGGGTCAGAGGGGAGGGGGGCGGAGTCGGTGACCGTCTCCCCGCCTCCCCACCCGACCGGGGGCGGTTCCCGCGCTGGGTCACGCGGCTGTTGGTCGGCGCTGGATCAGGGCGGTGCCCATGCCGAGCTGCTATTGGTCCGCGCTGGAGCTGGGCGGTGCCCGAGCCGCGCTGCCATTGGCCTGCGCTGGTGTGGGGCGGTGCCCGGGCCCCGGCAACAGCGCCTGGCGGGAGGGCGCGCGTGCGGGGGGATGGCCGGGGAGCCCTGTGCGCGAGCTCGCTGGCCGAGGCGGTCTCCCTGGGGTCCCTCGCGGCGTGGGAGCCGGGGAGGCGACGGGCTGGGTAAGGTGCATTCCGCAGGCCCGGTACTTAGCCTCAGTACTGACCGCAAACCTGGATGTGGAGGGTATGCTCTCCCCCGCCTTTTTCTCGATAGAGGAGAAAACGGGATTGGCGCGCTCATGCTGGTGCAGACTCCGCGCTGAGCTCGCCGCTGGCGCTGTCGCCAGGCAGGGTACCCCCATTCTCTCCTTACACTCGAGGGAGGACTCGAGGGACATTGCAAAGGTAACAGTGGCCGCATGCATTGGGTCCGGAGTCTTGCGACACCAGGCCGTTGGCTATTTTATTATGAGACACCGCTTTCACATCGGCCCGTTTACATTCACAGCGCTTCTTGCCAAGTGTGTGCCTCCCATCCCGCGTGCCTCACAATGGGTAGTTGTAATAACTTCACACACACACACACTCCGCTCTTCCCTCTTTCCTGTCTTTTTAATCCTGCACACCAGGATCTTCCCCAAGATTGGATTATGTCACTCCTCTGCTCAAAAACCTTCAGAGATGCGCAGAGAACGATCAAATGACCACGAACTTATAAATCCAATATCGTAATAACATGGGTTTGCAACCATTCTTGGACAATATCACCAGATCATGAGTTCCAGAACATTTAGGGGCTGGGGGGGGGGGCGGGGGAGCGGGGTTGGAGGAGAGGGTGGCGGTGATCTGCAAAGGGTGGAGCTTGAGTAAGATTAACCAAGGTAGCAAGTTTTACAGAGATGAGACTCGGTTATGAGGAACCACTGAGGAGGTCTGGACTCCATAGGGTGACAAGTTATTAGAGGTGTAGGTAGAATTTTACAGAAGCACCCTTGAGGTCTGTTAAGGGGGGTGGGTAATGGCATTTATATTACTGCCGTTTCTTGAGACTGCCTTTCAGGAAATTAATTGGCAGTGTCTTCCGATGTGAGTATCGAAAGCTCCTGGTCCTCTGAGGGCGTTCCTTGAATCCTGCAATGGTCTGTGCCAAAGCAGATAGAGGGGCATCACACCAGGAATGGATTTTTTTTTTTTTTACTATCCTCTCATTTTGAACAACAACCTTAAAAAACAGCTACTATATTCTGTAGCAAACCCTGTTGATGCAAATCTGTTCATTTTCCTCCAACAGCACCTGTATCTGTTTGTCTAAGGGCTTTTCCCACCTGCATGGAACTCCATAGGCCAGAGGTGCTGAGGAATTGGGGTGCCTGGTGACTCATGCGGTTAAGCGTCTGACTTGATTTCAGTTAAGTCGTGATCTCACAATTCATGAGATCGCGCCCCGTGTTAGGTTCTGCACTGACAGAGCATGGAGGCTGCTTAGGATTCTCTCTCTCCCTATGTCTCTCTGCTCTCTCTCACCTGGCTCTCTTTTCAAGGGCTCTCTCTTGAAATAAATAAACTTACAGGGATTAATCCCCAGGGTCCTCAACCAAAGACTGATGGGCGTTGATGTATAAATATCCCAGCTTCTGACCCTTGGACAAAGTAGCTCTGTGATGTAGATTCTACAGTGTTTCCCTAGGGTTCCCCAGAGGTTTTAAGCTCCAGCTGCCCACCGTGGTGACTCGCTTGGTGACAGGCTTCCTCCCTTCCCTGTATACTTAGCTGCCTTCTGATATTTCCTGGGATTAACTCCCAAATAAACTATTTTCTCTGCAATTATTGTCTCAGAGTCGTCTTCTGGGCAAAGTGAATCCTGATTTTTAAAATCTGAGAACTGAGGTTGAGAGAATAAATCACATGCTTAAAGTGACAGAGCTAATAAATGAAAACCAGAATAGAAATTCCATCTGCCTGTCTCTCTCCTGCTCCCTCTCTCTCTCTCTTGAGTTATATGTCTTTGGAACCCTGAATCTCCAGTAAAAAGTCTAGCTACCATGAGGCTGCCATGCCAGAGAGATGCCATAGATTGCTGACTATTCTAGCAGACGGCGTTCAGAGGAGTCCAGTCCCCAGCCAGCCTCCAGCCAGTTGGTGGAGCCACTATGCCTGACACCATTTGGAGCACAGATAAGCTGTCCTCACTAAGCCCTGCCCAAGTTGCATTCCTGAACTAAATAAAGGATTGCTCCTGTTTTAAGCTATGGTTTGGGGGTAGTTTGTTATACAGTAACAAATAACTAAAACTACATATCCCTGAATTCCCATAATTCTAGGTTAGCCAACCCCAAGAAACATCTTGCATGAGATTTGGAAGACAAAAGCAAAGTCACAGCCATGTTGGTTATGTTTGAAAGGTCACTGCAGAGTACGGGGCTCTCTTGCAGCTCACATACGTATCGGAAGCTGACCTTCATTATTGGACGGGGCCCCGACCCCCTCCAGTTTCCACCAGATCCTGCTTTAGTAACTCCAACTGCCGGGCCAAGTATGCATTTACCTCCATGATGAAGGACGCCATCTTCTGCTGGTCACTCACATTATCAAGGTTGGATGCTTGCAGGCAGTGAGAGACTGATGTTCTACTGACTTGGGTCCTATCAACAGGCACGTGAAAACCAGCCTCCACAATTGCATTAGGTCAAATCCCTATAGGAAATCTCTATTGAGTGATTCTGCTTTTTTTTTTTGTTTTAACCCTGATTGGTACAAGTCATTACTGAAAGCTTACTGGGAGTAAGGCTCTCTGCTAAAGGTTTTACATACATGATCTTATATGGTCCTCAAATCAACTAGCTCAAAAGCTGGATTTTAAGTATATAGAGGTTTAGGATACAATTCTCTCTACTTTCATATATATTTGAAATTGCCCATTATAAACTTTTTAATCTACTCATAGATTTTTTCTTTCACAACAAATAAATGACATATATCTTGCCTTGTAATTACTTCCACAAAAAAGATAAGGACGGGGCACCTGGGGGACTCAGTCGGTTAAGCATCTGCCTTTGGCTCAGGTCATGATCTCAGGGTTCATGAGTTAGAGCCCTGCATCGGGCCATGTGCTGACAGCTCAGAGCCTGGAGCTGTCTCCCTCTCTCTCTGCCCCTCCCTGGCTCTCACTGTCTCTCTCTCAAAAATAAGTAAACATTTTTAAAAATTAAAAAAAAAAGATAAGGATGACGATAATATAAGGATAAGGGTGTCCTTGCCTCAACCATGGGACATGGGATGTAGGGACCATAGTAGAAATGGCTTCTCCGTCTGTACAGAAAGTTGCTCAATACATTTCTACTCACTCTGCTATCTCATCATCTCCTTTATTCAAACCATAATAGTTCCATAGCCTTTTCCTCATCTCAGCCTGGAGCTAATGCTTACCTGTTCCAGTTTTAGGATGATTTTCTGTGTTCAGTGCTCTGCCCCCGGGCTCCCACAATAACTATTCACAACTACATTTTTGCACATATCTCCTTTTATAACCCATTTATGTGGGCAGCCTTCCTGAAAACACATAGTGATCCAGTGGGTGCAAGAACAATATTCTACCATTTAGAGTAGAAGCAGTGTCTTACTGGGGCGCCTGGGTGGCTTAGTCGGTTAAGCGTCCGACTTTCGCTTAGGTCATGATCTCGGGGTTCGTGGGTTCGGGACCCGCGTCGGGCTCTGTGCTGACAGCCAGCTCAGAGCCTGGAGCCTGTTTCAGAGTCTGTGACTCCCTCTCTCTCTGACCCTCCCTGCTCACGCTGTCTCTCTCTCTCTCTCTCTCTCTCTCCTAGAAATAAATAAAACATTAAAAATATTAAAAAAAAAAAAAGAAGCAGTGTCTTACTGTTTTATCCCCAGTACTTAGCACCGAGTGGGAGTTTCAATAAGTATGCCTAGAATCAATTACTTAATAAATTAATTAAAAGATACATGGATAGCCTAAATCAATGAATTCTGAACTGTCTAAACCAGTGGCTTCAAACCTTAGCATGTACCAGAATTGCCCGGAGGGCTTGTGGTTTTGGTTTTTTGGGTTTGTTTTTTTTTTTTACATTTTTATTTTATTTTTTGAGGAACAGAGAGAGATAGAGCACAAGCAGGGGAGGGTCAGGGAGAGAGAGAGATACAGAATCCAAAGCAGGCTTCAGGCCCTGAGCTGTCAGCACAGAGCCCAATGTGGGGCTCAAAGCCACAAATGTGAGATCATGACCTGAGCCGAAGTCTGACACTTAACCAACTCAGTCACCCAGGTGCCTCTATAGGGCTTGTTAAAACATAGATGTCTATGGTGAAATACTGAGATTTTCCTCTAAGATTAAGAACAAGACAAGGATGTTCACTCTCAAAACTCTATTCATCAGAGTACTGGAAGTCTTAGCCACAACAATCAGACAAGAAAAAGAAATAAAAGGCAACCAAATTGGTAAGGAAGAAGTAAAATCGTCACTATTTTTGGATGACATGACACAAAAATAGAAAACCCCAAAGACTCCATCAAAAAAAAGCCTACTAGAAGTAATAAATGAATTCAGTAAAGTTGCAGAATACAAAATTAATACCCATAAATCTGTTGCATTTTTATACACTAATAACAAAGTAGCAGAGAGATTTTTAAAAATCCTATTCATTATTATACCCCCCCAAGAAATACCAAAGAATAAACATAAACTAGGCAGTGAAAGACCTGTACTCTAAAAACTATAAAACAATGATAAAATAAATTGAAAGGCAACATGAACAATGGAAAGATATACATACTGATGGATTAAAGAACTAATATTGTTAAAATGTCCATATACC